TTGTTGTTTGAGCGAGTTCGCGACGAAGCTTGCCCAACCACAAAGGAAGAGTGGGCAACAGCATTGCGGGAAACCGAAGCAGCCAAAAACAGGCTGTATCACAGGAGCGGCTTTACCCCAGCCCAACGGCACCTGGGACAATCACCTCGCATACCAGGATGTTTGATGAGCGACGACCTCCTGGATGCGGAGCTCGTCGAAGGAGGTGCCAATGGCGAAATGCGCCGGGTGCTTGAGATTCGGCATATCGCAGCCGAGGCTTTTGTGAAGTTGAAGGCCAAGGAGGCGTGCGCGAGAGCATCAAGGGCACGATCAAGGACCGTTGAGGAGTTCAAGGCCGGGGATTTGGTGTATGTGTACCGCAAGCCTCGGGAGCGCAAACGAAAGGAAGCTTCGCAGAGAGAGATGTCCGAAGGGAAGCAAAGTGGAAAGCCCCAATGGGTTGGACCAGGACAGGTGCTGTCCGAAGAAGGACCGAATTTGTGGATTTCGATGAGAGGAGAGTTATGGAAAGCAGCGAAAGAGCAGGTTCGTAAAGCCACTTCCATGGAGCGGGAGGCTCAAGATCTGCTACATGGGGAGCTAGCCGAGCTTAAGGAAGAGTTGTCTAGGAAAGAGAGCCGAGAAGCATTCAAAGACATCACCAGTGAACCTTTCCCAGACTTAGACGGGCCAGAGCCGGAGGATACGCGAGTTGATCGTAAGCGTAGGGTCACCTTTGAAGACGAAGAAGATCCACGATTGGGCCCTCGACCGCGCTCTTCAGCGGCACCTCCGCGAGCGGCCGAGCCCGAGGGCGAGGACGGAGCGGCGAGTTCGGGAACCTCCTCGACGAGCTCATCGAGCAGTTCCTCGAGCTCCACAAGCGGTCCACCGAGCACAGCACCCACACCGAGGGCGGGAACAGAGAGGCGGGAGTCAAGGCAAAGCGCCGCCACCGAGCCGGAGCAGGAAGCGAGTGTCGCCAGTGAAACCGCCCCGTTGGGAAGCACAGAGTCCTACGGGCCCGCGGAGCACAGGGCAAGCCGACCAAGTCCGTACGACCCGAGGTCGCGAGAAATCGGCTTTACTTGGGTGAGTGACCTCGACGACCTCATCGAGGAGAACGCCACTATCGGCGACTACTGGGAGTGGGATCCGAAGCTTAACGTTCTGATCCGTTGGCATCAGCACTCCAGGTACGGCAACTTCAAGCCGAACGGGGGAAAGGGCTGCCCTGTTCCCACGTCTTTGCTAGGCGAGGTGAGCACTTCTTTTCTGGAGTACGAGGACGGGACCCAGTCGACGGAGACGGTAAAGTGGCGCAGCAGAGCTTCGAGAGCGAAGCCCCTCAGGTCGTGGCGTGGGCGTACCGAGTTCACCGTCGACGCTCTGGCGAACCAGGCAGTGCTCAAGGCCTACATCGTCAAGAAGCGCGGCGGCGACGAGGTGAAGTCGATTCCGGCCGAGGACGCGGCCGCCTGGAGAGACACCGACGGCGCAGAGTGGGAGAAAGTGCGGCCCACCGGGGCCATCAAGGCCTTGTCCGTTGAGGAATCCCAGAGGGTGCTTGAGGAGCTGGCCGCGGCTAACAAGCTGAACAGGGTGCTCCCCACTAGAATGGTGAGACGCTACAAACCTGGGGAACTCCCAGGGGAGGCCGCGACGAGGAAGTCGAGGCTGTGCATCAGGGGAGACTGTGACCCGGATGTCTTCAGCCTGGAAAGACACGCCCCGACGGCCAGTTCTTTGACATTGGCACTGGCGATGCAAGTGGCATCAACCCGCAGATGGCGAGCTTCCGTGGGAGACCTGCGGAACGCATTCTGCCAGTCGGAGGCAGGGGCGCCTCTTTGCACGACAACCTGAAGGCGGACTCAAAGGCCTGGAAGCAGGACAGCTGCTAGAGATAGTGGCTGGAGCCTACGGGCTCAACGATGCGCCGGCACATTGGAGAAGGAGCCTCAAGAAGGTGTTGCTGCAGCTGGGCTTTGTGCAGTCTGTGATGGGCCCAACGCTCTTCCTCTTAAAGCGGGAGCGTCGCGTCGCAGGCAAAGTCATCGTAGAGGTCGATGACTTGTGGACGGCCGGGGATGACGAGCACTACAAGCAGATTGACCTCCTGCGCCAGCGCTTCACTTTTGGAAAATTTAGGTACCTCCAGCAGGAAGAGGACGGCGTTGGATTCAACGGCCGACGAATGAAACAGAGCCGAGACTTCAGCTTCTCCTATGATCTTCAGAAGTTCATCGAGGAGAGGCTGGCGCCCGTGAACATCGTCGGCAAGACCAACGACGAGCGTGCTACAGCTCACGAGGTCTCTGAAGCCAGAGCTGTCTTAGGATCCCTGAACTGGCTCGGGAGAGAAGGGCGCCCAGACCTAGCTGGAGAGGTGAGTATCCTTTCAAGCAGGGTGCCCGATCTGAGAATCAAAGATTTGAAGGACATCAACCGAACGGTTGAGCGAGCCAAAGCATCGGCCGGACTGTGCATCAAAGTGAAGGGCATTCCAGAGAGCGAGATCGGCTTCGGAGTCGTCAGCGACGCAAGCTACGGCAACGTGAGAGAGGGAGGCTCCCAAAGCGGGCACTGCGTAGTTGCTTTCAACACTGGGATTCACCGAGGAGAGACAGTCGATTGCAATATCTTGTATTGGAAATCGGGCCGTATTCATCGGGTTGTTAATTCCACGTTGGCTGCTGAGAGCATGAGTCTGTCTAGAGCACTCGGAGATCTCATGTGGTGCGTCACTCTCTTTAATGAGCTGATGTCTGCCAGTTTCGAGCTCAAAGAGTGGGAGCGATCTCTTCAGCATCGGAAGCTGTGTGTCATTCCGGGGAAACAAGGGGAACAGCAGCACCTTGCGGTTGTTGATGCTAAATCTTTGTATGATCATCTGTCTAAGGAGCCTTGTGGTCATACCTCGGATCGACGCACCGCTATCGAGATGCAGATTATTAGGCAAACCCTTTCGGAGCTAGGAGCATCGATTCGATGGATCGATCACAATCGCATGCTTGTGGACGCGCTGACGAAATTGGGTGGCAATGCCGAGCCACTCATACAAGTGATCGAAAGCGGGCGGTGGCGCATTGTGGCGGAGGACGGAGGAGCAGGAAGTTGAGAAGCGCAAGGTGCTGAAAGCACAAGGTGCTTTAGTACGCCACAAGAAGTCTGGAATCAAAGAGAATTCTGGAAGCTGTAAACAGACAAGCTGTTGTGAGTGACGGTTGCTTCCAGACTTCAGCTGCCGCTTTCTCAGACTTACTGGCCCAAGACGTGCGGGCCCCCAGACTTAGCTCAGCGAGAGCACAAAAGGTGCAGCGATCTGCGGTCATAGTCCGGCGAGCTCAGAGGGTCCCTTGAGCTACCACTGTCTTTGACAGATTTGAGAAGCTGCAGCACGCAGTTGAACTGGAGCGGAAAGCCCTTCGAGGCGATTGCCAAATCGGAGTCCAGTGAGTGGTTCCCGGAAAGTGGAGAGGCTCCAGCCTGCGGGTCGTCAAAGTCACAGCACTCCCGAAACTCGAATGCAGTTCCCCAAACCTTGGTCGTGCATAGTGTGCGGTCAAAATCGAGAAAGATCACGTCCGGCTGATGCTGCGCTGCCGTCTGCCACACCTGGGCCGTGGCCACATCGCAGTGGCTGAACTCTGTTTGGGACGGCGGTCCACATCTTCGCCATCCCCGCGAAGTAAGCAGCATCGTTCGCAAGACCACTGCTCGCAAACAATACCTTTTCGGAGTGTGCGCATTGAATGTGTAGATGGAAAAGACGAAAAGCGTCCGCAATCCGGCCAAGCCACAGCGCGAGTCATGAGGGCAGAAGCTTCTGCTGCACCGTGCACCCCCGTAAGGACATCGCCTGCACTCGTCGCAAACTCGCGAGGCCGACATATTTCCCAAGTCTTTCCCGAGGTGGATGCCCTTGAGATCGCAGCTTCGTCTCGCACAGAAGGCATTGACCCCGGTGAAGCCAAAGCTTCGACAGTCGCACCTTTGCCAGAACAGTGCTTTTGTCGAGGATGTGGTGAGAAGTACTGAGAGGCTGAGAAAGCGACTGAGCAGGTTTGACAGGCATCGAGCCGCTTTTCCTCTCAGCCAAATGCATGGATTTGTTGCCGCCTTCAATTCAGACGTCACGGCCTCCTCACCCAGACGAGCTGACTTTGGCCAGCCCGCAGTACTCAATTCAGACAGCATGGCCTGGCCAGACCGACAGCTCCCTGACGGCGACCGGCAAGCTAACCCATGAGCCTCTCGATGTCCTCCCCGGGCTGCGCGATGCCTCCGAGTAGCGCCGGCTGTCGTTGGCTACACCCTCAGGCTCGGGCAACGGGACGGCACCGACCTGGCCTCGCCAACACGTCCGGGAAACCTCCAACGGGAGAGAGAGAGAGAGAGCGATGCTGAGATGTTGAGATGAGCATTTCTCTCTACAGTGGCAGCTGCAGCCACTTTGCCTCGAGGCACGAAGGCGGCGGCACCACGAGCTCCCGAGACCTAAAAAAAGAGGTCGCCGCTGTTGATGGGCCTGGGCCCTGGCCGAGCCGCTCCGAGCGCCTGACGAAGAGCCTCGAGGCGTCGCTTCCTCGGCGCAGGGAGGGCGGAAACCCAGAGCCTGCTCTCCTCTCTTCTCTCTCCTCTCTGAACCAAAGCGGCCAAGGCTCTTATATCTGCTATGGGATCAAGCCAGCGAAGGAGCTCGGACATGACCTGGACTTCACTTTGGACTTTGGAGCTCTTGGTCGGGGGGTTCCAGCTGACAAAGGCGCTGGCAGACAGCATGCCCTGCAGCACAAGCAAGTGGCCTGATGATGATTCGACCCCTGTCTAGCTAGAGATCGAATGGCCTAAATACAGCACGTGCCCGCACGCCGGTCAACCACACCACTCGACAGCCGCCCGTCCCTGAACCCCCACCACTCTCACCAATTTCTAACCTCTACAAGCCTTCCAACAAATAAAGGGACCCAGTGAGTGCCCGGACCACCGTCACCAACAAACGCCCAACCCGCCACGCTCACCCCGTCAGATTCGGACTGTTTCAGTCTACAGTATTCAGAAAAATGCCCACGCCCATGGTCGACCCCGTCACTCGCACCCTGGGTCCATTATGGTCCATTGTACCTTAAGCCTTAAGCCTTACCACTTTCAAACTCTGTGAACTGTGTTATGAAGTCCTCCCTGCACATGCAGGACCCCCAAATCCTTTTTTTTTGGGGGGGGGAGGGGGGGAAGGGGCATGCGCGACATAGTCTAAGTTGGTCATGCTGATGCGACATTCTGCGTTCTTTGGCGGCCCTGTCCCTCAAGCTGGGAACCGGTGCGAAGCTCTTATTTTTCGGCTGTTGCCGAGCAACAAGCACCAGCGCATTTTTATTGCATCAATAAGCTCGCGTGCCGGGGCCTGCCTGCCCGTGACCCGCCAACAAAAACTCAACAAAGCATGCCATCAGGCGAGTCGCGAGCAGCGTGCAGGTGTAGCCCTGCAGACAGAGCCGTGTCACTCAAGTACTCCGAGTCCTGGGCTCAGGCCATGACATCAAGTTCAGTCCAAGAACGATTGAGGCTGTCGCACAGCCGTCTCCCTTAAGCAGTGCCTCAGATCAGGGATGCGAGTCTCCAAAGCGAATAAAGACGAGACAGAAACATAAACTCTGCAACATGCTAAAGAAAAAACGCTCATCAATCTGGGAGTCATGCACTCAACCGACGCTCAAGGCCCAATGCTTGCTCCTCGACCTTCGAAAGAGCACGAAGCGTGGAAGCGACCCAGCACAGGAAGCGATGCGTTCCCTTAAGAGCAGGCTCTGCGCGCCTCACGAAGCGCAGTAATGTAACGATGGAGCGCACCCTTCAGCGCAGTGGCCTCCGGCATGAACAATGGGGCAACCAAAAGCAAACCTTTTCACACCTCGGGCACCCTACTTTACAGCTTTTCGAAAAAGCGCAAGATGATGTAAGCTATGCTCGGAACTTTTCTTCTGTGGGAGTCTGGCGAGTGCCAATTGGCACTCGTGTCCGAGGGGTTTCACACAAGTGCTCGGAAGGGGCACGACACCCGCCGCGATGTGCGAGCGCACCAAATTCACATGCCGATGCCGGAACAAATCGTAGCCCCTGCGACGTATGATCTCACAACATACAGTACACACGCCGATCTAACACTCGTAAAACAGTGTACCCCCGTAAGAAAGCATGTGCGAGCTCAGAGCATTCCTACGCCGATGCCCTTAACAAACTGCCCCCAGCTTTGACAACAGCGCACAGGCCGCTCCACGAAACAAACCGCACCCCCTGTTGTGTGTGATTTGGAAAACACACGCCGATGTCCATAACCCATCGTACCAGATGTGTGAGCTCAGAACATTCACACGCCGACACCCGTGACCTCCCCGGACAAATTGCATCCCCAGCTTTTATAACATGCATAATTACCCCGCCTGTTATGTGCGATTGCAAAAGACACACACACACACACACGCGCGCGCGCGCGCGCGCGCACGCCCATGTCCATAACAAATCGTACCCCATGTGATTGTGTGAGCTCAACACATGCATAGGGCGATGCCCTTGTTAGAACGGACCCCCTGCGATTTGTCATCTCGCAGCATGCACACGCCCATGTCGATAGTCACAACAATCGTTGTGATACGTTATCTCACGACATTCAGTCGCCGATTCCCGGAACAAGTCGTACTACTGTGATGTAAGCTCAACAGTATGCACACACTGATGCTCGGAACAAATCGCACCGACCGTGAATTGTGATCTGAAGCCGCACACATGCTGATGCAAGTTGCAAGTCGGACCCCTTGCGATGTGTGATCGCATAACATACATACGCTGATGTACAGACACAGGCCGGCGCCCGCAACACCTGTACCTCCTGTGATGTGTGATCATGCCTACGCCGCCCCTGTGAGCTGTGATCTCACGGCATTCACTGTCGCAGATGCCCCAGAACAAATCGTACCCCCTATCATGCTTGATCTCACAAACAGACACATGCCAATCCGAGCCCGCAACCAATCGCATCCCTTGCGATGAGTGGTCATACACACGCCGATGCCTGTAGCAAACCGTGCTCCGCGTGCCGCCTGCAAGCCGATGCACATATCAAGCGTGCTCCCTGTGATGTGTGACCTCGCGCCGATGTGCACGACAAGTCGCGCTGTTGTGATGTGTGATCGCGCCACATTCACGCGCCGATGCCCGGAACAAATCCCCCTGTGATGTGTGAGCACAGAACAAATCATAAGTCGAAACAAATTGTACCCAGTCATGTGCGGTCGCACAACATGCACAACAAATCGTGATGTGCGAGCGCACCACATTCGCATGTCGATGCCCGGAACGAATCGTACCACTTGCGATGTGTGATCTCACGACATGCACATGCCGATCCGACGCCCGTAACAAGAAATACCCCGTTTAGCGCACTCCGTGTGATGCGTGAGCGCGCACGCCGATGCAATTAGACCCGCATGCTTCCGATGTTTGCAAGACACTTTGCCAAGACTTAGGACCTAAGCACGCATATGAAGCAGTAAAGCCACTGACGGGAAACCGGTAGGCTATTGTTGGATTCCGATCAGAGCCAGTATGTCACTAAGCGAGCATCGTCAGCATCATTGGGTGTCCAATCGGAGCCTTGGGGCGAGCGAATGAGCATCAGTGGGGGAATGTGGGTGACTTACCTTTTGATGTTGCTAGTGCGAGCCTGCGAGCCGGCATCCTGAGTATCATTGGGGGGCCCACACGGAGCGGCTGTGCGCATCATGAGCATCATTGGCGCCCAAGCGGAGCCGCTAAGCGAGCATCAGGAGCATCATTGAGGGGTTGGCTTTCCATTTAAAGGCGGTCTGAACCACCGATTCGGACACTCAAGAATCGACCAGGCACCACCCAATTTGCCTACCCCCGAAAGGTGCCCTTCCCGACACCCCTGATTGCAACCTTCGGTTCCGAAAGTCCCAGAGGTTAGCTTTCGTTGAGGCAACCTTCGCTGGCGCCTTGACGGCCCCGCGAGCAATCAGCACAAGCTCCAAGTAGCGCAAGGCGTTCCTTCGGCATGACTCTGCGGTGGAGGAAGCAGGGAGCTGGATAGCGGAAGCGAGCGACATGTATGATCATGTGTGTGACAGGCCCCGACGCTGGCAGCCGGAGTTCCTAGGCCGACCCGGAGCGACTCTCTGTCACTCTCTGTCTCCTTCTTCTGGTCTCACTTCTCGCCTCGAGCGCTTCAAGGAGCTTCTTGAGCCCACCAGAGCCTCACAGAGAGCTCAAGCCGCCGTGAACACCGCCGCAGGGCCGCAAGCCTGGCCTAGCTCCGACTCGACGAGGTCCCGCTCGGAGCGCCAGACCCTGGCAGCTTCAATCTTCTCTCCTTTGTGTCAGGAGCCCGGCCCTCGACCCGGCCTTTGCAATTTGGCAGGCTTTGCCGGCTCCGAGCTGGAGCCCTGAGTTTCGCCGTGCATGGCCGCGAAGTAGGCGTCGAAGGCCTTGTAGTTCGCCAGAAAGAACCGGGCCTGTTCCACAACCTTCCAGAGCTCCAGGCTTTCTGGCAAAGCTTCGAACTTCCAAGGCACTCCGCTTGCAGGGTGTCGCGGCAAAGCACAGATGGCTTTGCTGAAATGCCTTGCATCGAAGACTGCCGCGACGGCACCGCGGCAGTCATTCAGTGCATTGGAGATCCCAATGTACCGATGCCTCCGCTGTGCCGAAAGAGGCGGAGGTTCCTCCGAAGGGATCTCCTGGGCCGACGAAGGCTCCCTGGCTTCCGTTGGGTCCTCTTCGGTCGAATGATTCGGTGTTGAGATTGCCGCCTCTGCCTGTGCTTTCTCTTGCGCATCAGCATCGGCGACACGAGAATAATAGAAACTCGCGAGTTGTCGAAGGTCCTTCTCCAGACCAGTTGCAGTCTGCCAAAGATGCAGACAGAGCTTCTTGAAGTTGATGAGCTCCCTACGCACCGCCAGACAAGTCTGCACTTCCTCCTTGAAGCATGCAAGAATTCGTTGAGCAAGTTTCTCGGAAAAGGCCGCGTGCACGTCCTTTTCAACCAAACCCCAGTCTCCTTGAGAGTAGGAGAGGATGTTGCTTTCCGCCAAGTCCAGCACACAAAGGCCTGGAACCGCCGTCAGCCGCTTCCGCAGGCTCTCCTGCCAGTCCTCTTCCCGCCAGAGACGCAGCTCTTGCTCCACCATTCCAGTACCATCTGAGGCACGACGAGCATGGAACTGCACATGTCCGGTGCTCTCGCAGACAGGTTTTGTGGATGGCGTGTGGGTTTGAGCGGCAAGCAAACGCCTAGTATCATCACGTGCCTTCTACGATCAAGCGAGGATCCTACCCTGCTGGATTTGCACGAGAGACGAATGCACGCACACTTCCTGCTCCTTGCTTTCGAACTGTGTGCGTACGAATGCACATGTTCTAGATGTCTATCGCCTGCTGCCTCCTGCGTTCAAGGAGACGTGAGACGCCCCGCCCACCGGACAGGGAGTTCGTTAACGGGTAATCAGCGAAGAGGCGGCTTGCACAAACTCTCATGGTGGCTTCAACAAGTAAGGGTCCCCTATTTACGGGTCCTTGCATTCAGGATTCTTCTATGCGGGGTGTGCATCTGGAACTCCAATATTGTTGTCGTGTACGTTATCACTAGCATGACTGAATTTCTGAGCCAGTGAGTGGTGCGCAAGCCATCCATCATCCGATGTTGGAAAACAGCGGCACCAAACAGTGACATATCGTTAAAACCGCCGCAATGCAGCGCAAAATAAATCGGGGCAACCTATCTCCAGCGTGTCCTGGCTGATGCGATTAGGAACCTAAATCTGTTGTGTAGAATCCTGCACCGCTGGGGTTAAACACGGGAGATCTCTTGCAAAGAACTCCTGCTCGCCAACACGATGCAGCTAATCATTTCGATGGACTGCTTGCCTTTGCCTGCAATCATCCAACGCAACTCGAACAGCACAGCACCAGCAACTTGCCTGTGGCAGTCGACTCCTACTAGTAATATACTGCCAATATCGACTTCCGCACCTAAGTATCCTTCTAGACTTCAAGCTCGCGCCTTCCTGAACTGCTCCGCCAAGCTTGGGCGAGGCTCTTCTGCAGCAGGCAGCGGTGCATCCATGTCCAGGTCCCTCATGTCCGCGCGCGCAGGAGCTGCCGACACACCGTGGGACATGCGCTCCTTCCACAAATGCTTCATGTAACAAGAAACTTCACGGACTTGTACAGTGTAAGTGACAGCCGAAGGGATTCACCTGAGACTCGAAGCACAAGAAAAACAAGGGTCGCTCGAAAATGTGAAAGGCGTAAACAAAGCTATCCGAGGATGCTGCAAACACTCTTGCGCACGATAGCAATCGCAGTCGTATGTTGTTTCCGTCTGTTGCAGGTATTTGCAGCACGAGGTGACCTGAAAGATCCTCAGGGAAACTGAAATACGATTAAGCTAGGGTGAGGTCGAGGGTCTTTAGATGGGCTGCATCCGACAGATTCCCCCCCAGGAACGCCAAATTCATTGCAAGGGTCATGAAATCCAACGTATTGTACAAATTGGCCAGAGCATGCACTCCATACAAGGCCCTTGCAAAGACTGAGCTTCTGGCATCATCAAACCATCTACACAACGTCTCTTAGAACAACCCGTTAGCTGAGGGTAGGATGAGGCAAGCCGCCAAGATCCTTAGCATGCAGATGTCGAGTATCCCACTAAGTATGCTTTCTTTCAATGCTTACTGCTGGCTTCACCAGAGCCGATTTCTGAAATTCAGTAGTCAGTAGTATATATGAACCACACTTCGGACATGCCATTCCGCTAGTTTTGGAATAGTGCGAACGTGACTATGCAAGTCCACAACCTCGGAGAGAACGACGAGGACGACGACGGCAGCGGCAGCAGCTGCAGCAGCAGCAGCAGCAGCAGCAACACCAACAACAACAGCCACAGCAACAGCAACAGCAACAACAAGAATGATAATAATAACAAGAGTAAGAAGAACGAGAACCAGACAACCACGACAAACACAAGCACAACAACGAGGACCAGCACACCCACAATCACCAGCCACCAGCCAAAAACAACCTGCAACCAGCAACCAGCAACCAACAACCAGTAACCAACAGCCAACAACAACAATAATAAGAATAATAACGAGAACAGTAACCATAACAATCAAGAACCAGACAAAAGCGGTGGAACCACATGAAGGCAACCACAAACATCAACGAGCAACCACACACAACCACAAACTGCCACAAAACACCCATTAGCAAGCACAAACAACCTTCAGCAACCACAACAACGACCCCGATGCTCACAACGACAACGGCACCAACACCGCGACGACGACGAATTTCAACAGTACTGCAGCATTCGGCTGTGGCAGTCTTCCTCTCGGACTTATTTGGAGATGTCTTGTAGTCGCCAACTGTAAGTTAAGGATTGGCCTGAAGCTGTCAGAGCGCAGCTCGCGCCTTCCTGCACTGCTCGGCCAGGCTGTGCTCTGCTTCTCGGGGCAGTGGCGGCGGCGCTGCGCTGTCAGCTGCCGCAAGGTCCGCACGCGGCTTCGGCGCGCCCAGCACCCCGTGGGACTTGCGCTCCTGCGTCCAGAGATGGTACGCATGACAATGCCTGACCACCGACCAGAAGTTGAGCACAACAGCCCCCTGGCACGTGAGCGTGCACTCTCCTGAAATACTCCATAATCTCCCAAGGCTCCAACCCTTGGCCACATGGCCTCCACGCGAAGGCTCCCTGACTATGGTGCCGCCTATAGCTTCGCATTTCGATTCCAACCGGTGTTCATGCACAACCAAAGTCAGCTGAGTGGCGAACCTGCACTACGAGACTCAAATTGAATGCCGCAAATGCTCGAGACACTGGTTAGAGGCTGGCGAGTGTCTCAGGTGTATCTTACGCAGGTTTCTCAGACCCCTGTCACGCAAGACGATCCCACGTGGATGCCGGCTACTCTGAGTGCACCCAGTGCACACCTGCATCGGCTTCGTGCTCGAGGCTGCTTCCGAAGACGGGTCTCCGGCAGACTCCATACCTGGAAACCGCGACAGAAGCGTCTCCGGCGCCATGATTTCGACCTGGCTCTCCGTCATGACATGTCACGACTGAAGCGACATCGGAGCTGCATGGCTGGAGGCTTAGGGCTTCGAGGGCCTCACCTCGAGCGCCGAGGTCTTGTGAGTCTTTGTCTCTTTCTTCTTCTTGGGATCCGTCTTACCCTGCCGCACGAGCAGGAAAGGTGCCGAAACGTTGTCTGAGGCAGATGCTCCACCGTGGCCGTCCTTCCGAAGAAGACTGGGTCTGCCGGTAGCAGTTGTTGCTGCTTCCATGTCCTGCACTTCCGGCGCACAGGGTTTAGAGACTTCACCGCAACTCGACCTCACCGTCCGACAATCCAAAGCCGCAACCCAAGAGGCCACAACAAAGAGGGGGACACACACACACACACACGCGGAAACAAGACCATTCCCTACGCCTAACACAGAAAAAGGCCCCCCTCGTCATGCATGATTGGGATCACCGAGGAACACATAATTTACAACGGACCCTTCCGACTAGGTTAGTAGACTTAGTAGAATCGACATGTGAATGAGGGCGGCTCCGCACTTCATCTGTGAAGAGACATTGCTCCAGGCTGTACTCTAGACAACCGTGCCCTCCCCCGTTGGCGACAGTTCACTCTCCTGGCATAGCCCCTGGCAGGAATTCTGGTGATTTCTCAGCAGCGCGCGACGGAGGCATGCATACCGACCCTCCCCTTTTCCTACCTCGCGCCTCCTGTCTGGCCTAATTTTCCTGGGTTAAGATGTGAGAGTCTACCAGTGGCAATAGCCGAAAGTGCCAGATATGTGGGTGTGCGTGTGTGTGTGTGTGTGTGTGTGTTTGTGTGTGTGAGTGTGTGTGTGTGTGTGTGTGTGTGTGTGTTTGTGTGTG